CAGCGACAAGGGCAAGATGAAGGAACTGACCGCAATGTTTGGGCCACATCTTTGGCTTAGTTCTATTGTGTGCGGTCACCGAGGTCAATAAATATTGGTTCAGGATCATTTTACAATATTTTAGAGGGCTATTCAAGCTCTCAAGAATGATGAGATGAAAAGATTTAAATCACATTGTTGTCTTCTATTCAAAGTTGTTAAAAAAGTGACTAAACTAATGTAAATTTGTAGCCTTTTCACCCAAATTTCTCAAATAACCCATCGTCATTCATCGAGTGTTAACCCTTTCCTTAACATTTCTTCCTCTCAAGACCCCGATTTCCGGGAAGCTTGAGGAAAAAAATGCCAAATCATGAGATTGGGCTGCCATGACGATTGCGATGACAAACCGTGAAAGTGCTGGACTATGGACTATCCTGGTAGGGATTGGATTTTGGGAGATGGGCACTTAGAGCTCGGGTGTTGACAGGACACCCAGACGAGTGACAGCTGCGACAATCCCAAGACGCAAAAAGCAGCCGCAACGATGACAAGACCAATCGGAAGCCGAAGTACACAGAAATCAAAGCCCTCGATTTGCCTTTCGGCCAAAATCCCAATCCCACTGACAGATTAATGGCGGGGCCAAATAGGCTACCCATATCCACAGAATCAGGCTGAGACTCAGACCCAGACTTTAGCCACACCCACAACCACAACCACCGATACCGACCAATTCCATGACCAAGTCCAGACAAGAAACCGCAATCGCAATCAAATTTATTTATTTATTTTTATGTTTAGCCGTTGGCAGTTTTCTCATTTGTGCCCAGCGCAGCACATAAGCTGACAGCCCCATCAAGTGGTTTTTTTCTTTAGGGACTTCAAGGATCTGTTGGCCGTTTGGTGGGGCGAAGCGAAAGGGTCGAGGTCAGGCTAATGATTAATACGCCTGGCTGCCCCGGCGACTCCGAGTGGCGTGTCCAGAGCACCAGTGGTTGAAGGTTGTGGGTGGGTGGTAAGCTTATCCATATGTACAGTCGAACTTTTTGTTGTTCTCTAATTTTCAGCACCTACTATTATTTATTTATTTTTGGCTCGAATCATCAATCCTTCAAGGAATTACAATCCTTTAAAAGCTAAAAAGTTGTATCCCCCAAAATCCCATGTTATATATTAGAAATACTAGTTTGATTCAGACTAGAACCCTGGTGTTTGTATGGGTCTCTGGATAGGTGGCAGGGGATTAGGATCTGCTGTGAGAAACCCTGGACTTTGTGGAGTGCGGACGCAAATAAATCACCTGTCTCGGTAGCCTCGGCTAAGACCTGGTCGAACAAAAAATATAAATTAGAAAATCCAAAACTGTGGGACCAGTTGGGGGACTAGAGGGTTTTCAAAGTGGGTGACGGGAGGGGTGGTGGTGCTGGAGGGGGTTAAAACGCAACAGAATAATCCCCCATTACCACACTTCCAGACCTGACCCTGGATGCTAGCGTGTGTGTGTGTGTGTGTGTGTGGCACTACTTTCACACATTTGCAGGCTCGTGGGTTGTGTGTACTCCTGTGCCCACACACATGCGATGCGAAGGATATGCGTGAAGGACCTTCGGCATGTGAGCGAGACAACAGCTTTAACAGCAGACTCTCAGCAAAGAGAGAAAAGGTCCTGTGACAGGACTCTGCTAGTGAGAGAGGAATAGACAGAGAGGGAGGAAGAGAGAGACAGAGAGCGGGCGACTCGCTCGTAGTACTCGCAGGCGTAAAATGTGTAAAACTCAACTTGACGGCTCCTTTTGCGGCTCTCTGATGAATGAGATTAACCGTTACACACTCACACACACACACATACACACAACAAACTCGCACAGGACATACACTAACACAGGCACAGGTACAGGCGATTGCCGGCGTGGCCGGACCAAGGAAAAATCCACCCTCTTTTTGGGACAAATGAGTGCAAATGACCTCAGCGAGGGAGAACGGGATACGCGACGGTGTAGACGGAACAAGGATACGGGAGCAGCAACCCCCGAGCCGCCTAGCTTGCCACTTGCCACTTGCTCCTTTTTCCCGCTCCTGTTCTCTTCCTCTTCTTCTTCATCCTGCTGCTCCTGTTCCCATTCCCGCTACTTTTTAGCTCCATTTTTTTTTTAAAGCGGTGCCTATCCACATCATTTTACTCGTTATTTTTTTTTAGATATTTGTTCCTTTTGTGGACACTGTAACTAAGAATTTATTGTGCACTTCGTTCTGGGTATTAATTGATAATATTATTCATTTAATATTCATTAGAATCCCAATCAGACGCCCTTGGTAGTTATCAGTTGGCACGAACCGAATGCATTTATACGAGATACACTATTATGTATAAGCTACTCACACACTTGACAGTTTTTGTCACTAATTTATTAAAAATATATAAGGTCATACAACGAAAAACATACAAATGTTTAAAATATATTTTGTGATTTCGAAACACAAATATTATTGGACTTAGAACATTTCACTGAATCACTGGGTGATGTGATAGCGCGGGAGAAAGTCTCCAACTCAACGTTTCGATTGCGACTGTGGATCCGAATCGGATTTTCGCGCAAACGCTCTCCACAGCTCCTGAAAACCCACTAAAAAATCCTACTTTCCCCCCAATTTCAATATCGTTGGCGAGTGTGGACTCGTCCGTGGAAGTTGGCGATTATTTTGGCGTCTCGTTTTTGATATTCACCTCCCCAGCTTTCTCGTTGGAGGTAGTTAACAGTTACTAGTTCATGCCACACGGCGAGTGGACAGCCCCCTGTTAAGCTTATCGATTGCCAAGCCGTGTGAGAGGCCCCACTTAGACTCCCAAAAAGTTGGACACTATTCTCTATTACAGCATGGAAAAAGGACATGAAGCACTCCACTCACTTTCTATTATTCTATTTTAATATGGCAGTATTTGTTTATATTTTATGCACTCGGTACACGGATTTATTTGAGACGAATCATTGCGGCAACCGGAGCTATTCAAAGTTGAGGGCGAACTGAAGCCGGCGCCTTTGGGGGTAGAAAAACCTGCCCCCTAACAAAACCACCCCATTGCCTTGATGTTTCTGAACTCTCTCTCTCAGCAGTAAATACTTACTCTCTGTTGGCTTCGGCAGTGTTAGGCATAGACTACTGTAGTCAAATTTTGGCGCCTCAATGGCTTTATGGTAGCATTACTTTATAACTTTTCTATAATTTGAGGAATCCCACCATCAAGGATTTCGCACACCCCATTACATTGTGGATGATTTTATGTATATTTTAATTAGATATCATCTTTGAATTACGGTTTCAGGACAACTTCTTGTTCCTTAAACGTCTTTAGACAGCTTAACTGTCTACTTGGCCAACACTCTGGCTTTATTTATTAGCTTGGGGGGATATTTTTGCACTAAACTTTAAAAAAAACAACAAAGGAAAGCTTACTTCAGGCGTAGTCGAGGTTGATATACCCTTACAGTTAAGTCGGCGTTTATGTTATAACATAATACCAGATGGAATCTATAAAGCAAATTATATAAATATTAAAAACATTATTACGAAAAAAAATTACTACAAAATATTTTATAACTAAATATTACAAATAAAATTACAACAAAAATGGAAACAAAATTGCAGCAACAAAAACATCATAAAAAAAAAAAATAATAAAGAACATTTTTAATAAAAAAAATAATTATTTTCCGATTTTTCGAGCCTGCTTAGGTGCAACCTATGAGAATCGAGGAGGAAGGCACTTTTTTTTAATTAATTATTTTTAAAAATTTTATTGAATATTTTCTAAAATGAAGCATCTGTTAGAATGTTATCATACGCAATATAACGGTAAAATTTAACTCTTCATTACTGTTTGTCTTCTGGGCGCCCTTTAATGTAGGCAATAGAAATATGAGTGTTTACATTGTAAGATTTTTGATTTATAAAAAAAACCTGTTTTCCTTTGAAATTATAGAAGAATCAATGTAATTAAGGATATGTAGGAAAGAATGTAAGGAATTAAGGATATACGTAAATTGCAACATCGCAAATAGTTGACCAATCCTTAAGAGCATTTCAGTATAAGACTTTATCAGTTTGGACTCGATAGCTTTATAACTGAGAGACTAGAAACATACAGACGGGCCGACGGACTGACGGACATTCTTATATAGATTCAGGAAGTAACCCTGATCAAGGATATATATACTTTAAAAGGTCGGAAATGTCTCTTTCACTACGCAGCACACTTTTGACCAAAATTATAACACCCTCTGCAAGGGTATAAAAAGTCCTATAGGACTGGGTGGGCTGGGTGGTGTCGTGAGCTCTTATCAGATAGCAAGCGTAACATGAGACTTGTGCGTCTGGTGTCTGGACTTGCCTTGGAATCAAATCGATTTCGTGCACCACCCCCGGCCAGGACCTGCTATCGATGAGTTGGCGCGCAAACGAAGCCGTGTCCTGTAATTTGTCGCCGCCGCACGACAGTGACGCAAAGTGCCTGTCAGTCTGCCACGGAAGGACCTTCTCCCACTTACTTCCCAGTCCTCGAACCTCCGGAGTTCCCGCCTCCCAAACTCTTGGACAATTTAATTATAGCCGGAGACAGAGACGTAGACGAAGACATCGTCGGCTTTAAGGTAACCGGAGCACTACTACTCCCTACTTGGCAACGCATTGGAGCCTAAGCCCCGGCAGCGTCAGAAACATCAGAAACATGCGTTTATCTTGTAATTAAATTTAAATGGGATAACTTTGTGGCCGGAGCCTCGTTTCCGCGGCACAAAGAAATTAGCGTCGCGAAAAGCCATCTCAGATAGCTGGCCATGGAATTATAATGGACACGCGGCCTGTCTCTTAGTCTTTTGACTTACTTTTTTCATAAAACTTTAGTCCGAATCCAGTTTGTGATAGTTCAATTATTTTGTCATAAAAGAAAAGTGATAAAATAGGACAAGGATATCATATCCTGCTTAAACTTTACCTTGTGCTGAGAATCAAGTTACAACAAATTATCGTGTGTAAGTTCTTTATTCGTTTTTAAACAGTAGTCTGATCGAGACAACTTGCAATTGTTGTATGTTCCAGTAACCACATTAAAATAATAGACTTTATGTTACCCATTTACCCATTTTTATGTATATATACCCCATCACCATTTTCCTATAACTAGATTACAGCTCTTATAGTTGAGCTCAGATTATGGCTAGTCCTTGATTAAAATCATCAACCTCGAAGGATACATTTCTGTTTGTCGGCGTCGAACCACTTTCCTGGACTGCAGTAGTTGAGGATTGCCTTTCCCTTCAGACAGGAATAGTACTTATTGCGCATCTTGATGTCTCCAAATCTAGTTCCATCTACGGCTTTGCTGCAATCCGGAAGACTGGCTCTACTCAGAGGGCGATGAGATCCTGACGAACTCTCGCCAATGGAGCACTGAACCTGGCCAGGATAGTTGCAGAAATTGAGCGTAAAGTCAAAGTACAGTCCTCGAGGACATTCCCGGGCTATGGCGCGACCATTGGCACAAACGTAGAACTTGCTGCAAGACTTGGGGTCTCTTATATAAGCACCATTATGCAGGAACCTGCAGTCGGGCACGGTATTATCTTCAGATGGCTTTTTAGTCACTACCTCTGGTATCTCATCGACGGAGCAGTCCACCAACCTGGGATAATTACAAACCTTGTTCTTGATGTCAAAGTTCAGTTTACTGGGACAACTGCCAGGCATGGGCTTCTCGTTGAGGCAGATATAGAACTTGTTGCAAGATGTGGGATCTCGCAAAAAGACTCCATTGGGCAGGTTGGTGCAGACCGTGGCATTCACCTCCTTTGGTTTCTTACCAGACCATTCCTTTGACTTCAAGCCGCCATTACCATTATTCGCCTCGTTTGTAGTTGTAAGAGACGGTTCAGTAACTGGACTTACAGAGCTGCCATTATCCTCCTCGGTTGTAGTTGTAAGAGACGGTTCAGTGACTGTAACTGGAGTGCTACCATTGTCCTCCTGAGTTGTACTTTCTTCAGACGGCTCAGTGACCAAGGAATTCTCTGAACTAGAAATACTTTCCTCAGATTTACTTTCCAGAGACGGTTCAGTTACAGGACTTTCAGAGCTATTACCATTATCCTCCTGGGTTGTACTTTCTTCAGATGGCTCAGTGACCAAAGGATTCTCCGAACTGGAATTGCTTTCCTCTGTTGTACTTTCCAGAGACGGTTCAGTTACAGGACTTTCAGAGCTATCATTATTCTCCTGGGTAGTACTTTCTTCAGATGGCTCATTGACCAAATGATTTTCTGAACTGGAAATGGAGGAACTGGAGTAAACATTATCTTCTAAAGTGGATGGATTTTCGGTTGAAGATATACTCTCTTCAGTAGAACTTTCTGGCAATATTTCTAGAAATGGATTAAATTCCAATGGGTTCACTGAACTAGAGATACTGTCTTCAGTTGTACTTTCAGATGATAGTTCTGTTGTTGGGCTCTCCTCAGTAGAACTTTCTGGGGATATGTCTAGAAATAAATCAAAGTCCAAAGGGTTTACAGAACTTGAAATACTGTCTTCAGTTGTACTTTCAAGTGAGGGTTCAGTGCTTTGATTTTCAGAAAAAGCATTATCTTCCAAAGTGGAGTCAGTGGATGGATTTTCGGATGAAGATATACTCTCCTCAGTAGAACTTTCTGGGGATATGTCTAGAAATACATCAAAGTCCAAAGGGTTTACAGAACTTGAAATACTGTCTTCAGTTGTACTTTCAAGTGAGGGTTCAGTGCTTTGATTTTCAGAAAAAGCATTATCTTCCAAAGTGGAGTCAGTGGATAAATTTTCGGATGAAGATATACTCTCCTCAGTAGAACTTTCTGGGGATATGTCTAGAAATAAATCAAAGTCCAAAGGGTTTACAGAACTTGAAATACTGTCTTCAGTTGTACTTTCAAGTGAGGGTTCAGTGCTTTGATTTTCAGAAAAAGCATTATCTTCCAAAGTGAAGTCAGTGGATGGATTTTCGGATGAAGATATACTCTCCTCAGTAGAACTTTCTGGGGATATGTCTAGAAATACATCAAAGTCCAAAGGGTTTACAGAACTTGAAATACTGTCTTCAGTTGTACTTTCAAGTGAGGGTTCAGTGCTTTGATTTTCAGAAAAAGCATTATCTTCCAAAGTGGAGTCAGTGGATAAATTTTCGGATGAAGATATACTCTCCTCAGTAGAACTTTCTGGGGATATGTCTAGAAACAAATCAAAGTCCAAAGGGTTTACAGAACTTGAAATACTGTCTTCAGTTGTACTTTCAAGTGAGGGTTCAGTGCTTTGATTTTCAGAAAAAGCATTATCTTCCAAAGTGGAGTCAGTGGATGGATTTTCGGATGATGATAAACTCTCTTCAGTGAAACTTTCAGGCAATATTTCTAGAAATGGATTAAACTCCAATGGGTTCACTGAACTAGAAATACTGTCTTCAGTTGTACTTTCAGGCGATGGTTCTGTGGTTGGGTTCTCCAAGCTGTTATTATCCTCTTCAGTTGTGCCAGCAATTTCTAGGAATAATTCTTCATTTAATGGGCTTTCAGAACCAGGAATGCCACCCTCAGTTGAACTCTCCAGCGCTCCTTCAGTGGTTGATATTTCTGAGATTCCATTCTCTTCTGTTGTACTTTCGGAGGATCCTGAGTCTATAGCTAGGTAATCATGTTCATTGTTGTCCAGAGATGGTTCCGAGGAGGAAAGGGTTTCCTCTGTAGATGTCTCCGAATCTGGGATTTCCGTGGAAGAAACATTTTCCTCTGAAAATGACTCGAAAGATGAATGTTTCTCGGAACCAAATGCTTGGTCCTTGGAAGTCACGTTCGAATTATTGATATTTTTGATGTTAATTATGGAAGATTGAGGATGAACTTCCGCTGCGAGGTTGGAGAACTGCAGTTGTGCGACGGAATGCCCAGTTAGAGGCGATGGTGTGACTTCTTGAGAAGAGCCCCATAAGCTTCCGAAGAAATTTAAATTACCAAAAATGTTGAAGATCACTGGCCTGTCAACCTTAATTTCTTGTTCGATTTTAAGTTCATTTTTGGTTTCTTTCTTGGAAGGCTGCAGTTCTTTCTTTTCTACAACACAGGCCTGAGAAACGGCATCGAACTTAAGTCCATCCTGGCATGTGCTCTTTATCTGACCCAGCAGACCCAGGCAAAGGACATACGAGTAAGGATCCTGCGGGTCGATAGCTCTAGATCCAAATGGCTGCCCCGCACACGAATCCTTTGCGAAAGTCTGGGGGACAGTCCAAATAATAGCCAAAAGAAAAAGAACTAAAAAGAATTTATGAAAAAAATTATAAAAAATCAATCGAATAATATGTCAGAAGAATATTTTACTTACCAATTTGCATTTTGGTAGCACATCCGACCAAATGCAACGGCCCAAGACCCCATGGCTTCTTTTATAGTTTCAAATTTTCTCAAAAACAAGGGAAATGTCTCGAGTGAAATATTTTACAAAACATCAACAAGAAAATGGTTTTAAATAAATTAAAAATAGGGAATATTTCCTTTTCAAACTTACGTACTTTTTACGAAAAAGTGAATATTATCAGTTACAACGTTTATTTTAAATAATATTTGCCTAAAACTTGTATAACTATAGAAAACAAATGTACTTTTTGGGAAAGACATTTTCCAGGTAATATTATTTCACAACAGAAATAGTTGGGACTCTATTTCTTACAAGTTTTTAGATTATATTATTTTTAGAGATCTTTTAAAGGTGTGCTTTAAGTAGGTAGTTCGTATTACAGTAAACTAAACTACGTAGTATAGAGGTTGAGGAAGTAAGAATGTATCATTATATTTATTTAGAAAATCTTTCCACAATTTAAGCACCTTATTAGAAATAAAAATATTAATATTCAGTAAAGGTCGTTTACATTTAAGATACATAAATATTAAATTTTATAACAAAATATAAATATATGGAGTAAGATTATTTTAAACTTTAAATGACTTCCCAGGGTACGATTGATAAGTGATTGTCTATTGTCTATGACCTCTATCCGGAGCTTCTTCTCCGGCGTTCCTAATCTGCCTAATCTACAGCCGTAATGGTGCTGTCAGCGGGCTTTTATCTCGACTCACCTTGCGCTGACGCCAATGTCCCGCAGGTGATAGTGTAACGGTAGTGCCATAGCCCACCCCTTTTCCCCGGGCCGGCAAACCCATCTGCCCGTCCGCCTCGGCCGCCCACCTGTCTCCCTCACCTGCCCGTCGGGGCAAACTGTTCCGATTAGTTGTCCAGATAAGGGAAACCGTCTCAGCACTTATCGTGCCCGTATTCTTGCAATGATTACTCAAACCTTGGAACACCGGTTGTTGTAGTTGCTTTTGTGGGGCGGGGCGGTGATGGGCGGGTGGGTCTATTTTTAGTAACATAGAAAGCTTTCGGCTGGAAGCTACGGACTCCACTATATGGCTGGGTTTTGGCCCGCACTCTTATCGTAACTTGTGTGGCTTCGAATGTACCTAGTTGAGGAAAAATCAGTTTGGATTTTGTTACCTCTGGTATTCGAGCCAATAAGTTCGGCCACGAATTCGCATTTTATCTTTTGCATTTTTTTTTTATTATATTTTCAATTTTTCTTTCTTTTTCTTTCTTTTCTTAAATTGATATTTGAATTACTTGCAACAATTTTTGGCTAGTGCACAGGGTCACCTGCACCCACTAAAAATGTTCGTATAGTAATGGGCCGTGTCCGTTTCTTGGTATCAGCAATTTTTCGATAGCCCCAGCATGTGGTCGAGACACCAACAAAAATGCATGCGATCATATTAATTTTGATTTAAGTGTTATTAGAGCGGTTCCCCTATCAGTACTTTTTTTTGGGACTCCCAAATGTACAATACAATGCAATTTTTTCAGAAAATAAGGGGAAATTGCTTTGAAAAACAAAAGAAGTTAAAAAAAAAACCATAGTGAAAATATTATTCTCTTTTTTTATTTTTGTAATAATAAATATGCAAGCATTTAAACGATTATTAATACCTTACAATTTTAATATAATAAGGAGCAAAAAATTATCAACGTTTCTATGTGTATATTGTAGATTCTATAGTCTTCTATAAGGCATAGTTTATTTTCAAAATAATTTATAGATTCACTGGCCAAAATGCTTGCATTTCTTAAAAGTAGTAGAGGTGTCTTTTATTTAATTTTAAACGTTTAAAAAAAAATCGTAAATAAAGCAATAAAAAATCGATGTAAAATTTGCATAAAACTGAAGATGATGCAATGGATTAGAGTGGTCTCGAAACTAAACTTTTTGGCGCCTGGCAGAATTAGCGCCGAATTGCAAATTGCATTTTAGTCCATTCGTTAGCTAACGAGACCATTCCAAACGCGATAACGATCTAGAAAAGTGCACATATCAAGTAGAAAACCAAAGGGGATATAGCTAAGATACCCCCCTAAACCCTTCGATGTGTCTTCCGTTGCAGTTTGAGGCCATTTAATCAGGTACTTATCATTTTCCCCACCGATAAGCAATGGAGGATGATGTCGAACTACTAAGGGGAGACCTACTTTCCAACCATACGATCGTCGATTGAAAGCCACAATATAACGACAAGAACATATGTAACTAGATTTAATAAATCGTCCAAAATATTGAAAATGGATCCCCATTAATTTGTCATATCCACTGCTTGCGAGTTCCTGTACTGCTCCCGCTGCAAGCGATTTCCGTAGGTGCGCGAAACCAAGTTCCAGGCGTCCATGAATCGATCCATGCACTGGGAGATGCACTTCTGCTCGGAGTTGTCCAGTGACTTGCCCGGCTTCTGGACGCACTTCTTGAAACACTTCTCGGTCATCTTCGAGAGCATCTCCTGGGCATTGGCCAGAGCGATCTGTTGCTTCACCTGGCTCATCAGCTCTCCCTTCTCCATATTACCAGCCATATTACTTAATAAACAATTTTAAATTGGGAGTTTTCTCCTTAAATCTGAATGCCTTTTATAAATGTGATGCTACTACTGGGAGACTTCGATTCCAATTAAAAAGACCCAGCTCACTAACGTTGACAGTTGAATCCGAAAAATAAAACTCCATGATGATTATACATTTTGTTATGCTTCATATATTTGTGCCGAAAATTATTAAATTGTACAATTGTTTGGTTTTTAGTTTTGCAATAAGCTTTGTTAATCATTTCTACAAAAGACCTCAGATATAGTTTTTGATCAGTATCAGTATTTTGTTTAAAATTCTCAGGCAGATGTAGCTTAAAATGCTCTTTATTAAGGTTCTCGATAAATCTATAAAAATATAATCTTTCCATTGCGGTTTATGCTCTTAGACATATTTTACATTATTCGTTTAATTTGTTAAGACACTTTTAGTATTTTTGTTCTCTCTGATAGCTATCTTACTACTTTTGTTTGTAAATTTGTTTTAAGTTTTAAGTTATAGTTGAATTGCATTAAGTTAGACCCAAACACAGAGGCTTGCCAAAGGCGCAATCTCATCGAGAGATTTGAAATTGTTGAATGACGATTACAGGAAGAATGTGCATAAAATTTCTATCGGTGCTAATATTTCTAAATAAATTTCCTCCTAATCTTCACATTCTAAAACAGGATAGTGTACAAAGGAATCATTCTCAGTAAACTGAATAGAAAGGTGGTCATTGCTTTATCCCCAACCGTTCTATTGTGAAAGTAGATTCTTTTAAATAATACTGAATAATATAAAACTACTTCGGGAGAACGGTTAGCTACTTGAAAAGAATGTTTCGATCTAATAACTATAAATATTTTTAATTTGCTCCTTTTCCCAAGTGTACAATGGTATTGATTGATTTTATATCTTATATAATTTCAAATCTTAAAACAATGTAGAATGTGCCATGCCAAAATATAAATGTTAGAGAGTATAATGATTGATGATAAATATGTACAATTGAGGAACAAATAATTAAGAAAAATAACACTACTACCGTCAGTTTGGTTATTTATCATTATATATATATACGGAATGTACAATCACTTCGAGTATGTAAGTATTATTGCGTTTAGTTTTAGAAAGAAGACAGGCACAAACATATAATTAGTATTGCTATAATCCTAGGCCTGATTGTCGGTAGGCAGAATGTCCCATTTGGCTCTGATCCTGTCAGTTTCTTGGCACCGTTCCCAGGCGATGCCAATCGCAGAGCTCCTGGCGCAAATCGTGCTTGGATAGATCCAGCTCGAAGCCTCCGAGCAGTTCGTTTTCCTGCAGGGTGTCGTGTGACCAGACGGTGACCTGCAATCTTCGCTCCTGGATAATATTCAGTGGCATGCGGTACTCCAACTATAAAGTAGAAAATATTAATGAAGGCGATCTAAATTATGGTTTAGCTACTAACCGTTTCCATAAAACTGGGCACGCAGGTCTTGCGCACTACTTTGGTCTTGCGTTTGGTCTCCTTTTTGGGATCCGGTTTAAGGTAGCACTTCACATAAGTGTTTGGCTCCTGACCGCCCTGTAGCATGGGCAGCCCTTTGGCGTGGTGTATCTAAAATAAAACTTTGGTAATATACTGGAAATATTTCTTATTAAGGATTACCCACCATCACAGTAAGTACGCCGCGTTGGTATTGCAGCGATAGTCGAATTTGGCCAATCTCGTTGGGATTGTCTCGCGACGGTTGTCGTTTTACCTCTGAAATGGTTAAATAATTAATTTCTAACTTTAAGTTATATATTTTTAATGGATGCATACCCTTTATTTTTGGCATTTCCAGCTTGGCTTCTTGCTGATCGCGCAGCAGCGGATGGAAGAAGGTATAAACTAGCTCCGAGTGGGCTATTTCCTCGGAGGCATCGAACAGCGATTTCAGAAAACGCTGAATAAGAGGTAGACGTTTCTCGGCCACGGATTTGATATTGGAACGGCCCACATGAACGCCAGCAGGAAGACTAAAAAAAAAAAGCGAAATATAAATAGGTTTATAAGATGAAAGATATCTATAATTCTAAAAATAAAACCTATCTATAAAAATTACCTACAATTACACTTTAATTTTCGTTTAAAGTCTTTTTCAAGTTATCTTTGGGAACCTATTATTTTTCATTTTGTTTATATAGTCAGGGCCTGGTAGTTCCATCAAGGTGGACTGACAAATCATGGCACAAAATTTGCGATTGCTTATCAGACAGAGCTCTGGGCAGAGCGCGTCTAACCGAAAGCCTGGGGGTTTGAGGTAACACCGCTAATAGCTGATAAATCGGTGACTGGCCCGGTCTGATTTCACAGCTCCGGAGAGCGGACATGGTGGGAGAGCGGACAAGTGCAAATGTGATATCGGTTCGAATCGCACCGATAAGCGACCGCTGCTCTAAGGGGACCGCTCGTCAGCGGCAACGTCAGCGCTCAATCAGTTGGCGAGCGAGCTGGAGAGCGGAGCTCCGGAACGCTACAAGCTGACAACGCCGGAACGCCAAACAGTCGAAAGCGGTTCGATTAGCGACGTGGTGAAGTTTTTTTTTTGAGCGGATATATAGTATATGTATATATATATATGCAAGTTTTTGCTGGCCAAAACAAAGGGGGGTATTGCAAAAATTACAAACTTTAGCCAGAATGCCAAGCCAACAGATTTGTTGTTGAGAAAATAAAGACATGGCCCAGCTACAGAATGTGGGCCAGGGTAAGTTTTTAAAATCTTAAATAGTAACTTCAATATATCGTCTTGTACTCCAGATCATCAGGCTGTGGTTGGTTCAACTTTGGCCTCGGTTCTGCTTCTGATGGGCTTGGTGTTTACTCTTCTGGGGATTAAGTTCTTCGGCTTCCGGAGACGACTGACTTTTGATAGATCCCAGCAGGTGCAACAGCCCCAACAACAATCCCAACAGCCGCCACGTTACGCAGCTTATGAATCGCAGGTGCGTATGCAAATCCAGAAACAACCACAGAACTTAACAACACCGATGCAGGGGAACTTAATAAAAGGTTAATGTGATACCGATACCGATACTACCTCATATACCCATCATCCATTACTACCCACACCATCGTTGGGCCAATAATATTCATACCCACACAGAGATCCCGAACATGAGTGGCTCTGATAAGGCCTGCCCTGCAAATACGAATAGGTGTTCGCAGGTGTTGGGCTCGGTTTGTGGGTCTTGGTTTGGGTCTGGAGCTGGGTTCTAGCGATGGGGGCGTGAGGAATGCCAACCGAAGGCCACCGAACTTTCACTAATTTGAATCAGGTTCATTTAAATTCCACCTGCATATTATCGGAGATTATTATCATTTCTGGGGATCCAAATATGAAAACAAAACTACTAGAAATTGGGTCAACAATGTCCAGAAGCCTGAAACGATTCTTGAATTTATAATCTCACCGTCTCTATAAAATCTCGCACCTTATCGCTGGGACGTGTTTCAGTTCGCGTGTCTGTGGTCAGGTGTGAAGGTAGTGACGCATCTTGGTCGCCAACAGCCACAGCTGATGGAAGCCAAGCTCTGAAAACTTATTCACCATGAAGCAATAATCAAAAAAGTGCAATTTTAATTATTCCTCAGGTAAACGGCACCGATACCGCCGTCCATGGAGTCTTTCGGCGTCGCAATCTCGAGGAATTCGAAAGTCCATGGCCATCAGTAGCGGCCGCAACGCCAGGTAATGATTGGAAATGAACGTATTTATTGGATTGGAACGCTTACAATTTATTACCCAAATTACAGCCAGTAGCTATATCACTGGAAGTGTTCCAAATCTGCGCCTGATTGGCGCCGCCAGTCCCAAGGAGACGAGGGCCACCGAACACGCCAAAGTCTCCTACCGAGGACAGACCCAATCCCAACGGCAACGACGTCTGGAGGTGCACAGTGAGCACTATGAGTACTACACGGCTCCGCCTACTCGTCAGCCACCTTCACCGCCCACGCAACCAGATCCTGCCCAGGCACCTGTTCCACAAACTGTGCCAAGTGTGGAATCAAATGAGGCAACTGCAGCTTCTCCTGCCAAGCAATCATTGCCGGAAACAGCTCCAGAGCCACCCAGCGAACTGGGAATGCCCAACTTCAGTCACTTTGCGGAAAAATACGAACTGATCAGCGTGCAACCCCCGCGGGAAGTCAGCAGACCCACAAATCTGATGTGCAAGAATAGTGGTCGGTATGTCAAGTTCGAGCCGGTCGACGATGACCCGGAGATTCTTACACCCGAAGACCAGGTGCCAGAGCTACTCTCGCCCGATGACGGACTGGGAGGTCCTCTGTCCGTGATTGCTGTGGTACATCAAGGAGCTCTACCGAAGACCGAACCGGAAACTCCAACAGAAACAGAGCTTCAAGTGGAGCAACCCCAAGATCCAGACTCAGCTTTTGTTGTGGAAATAATAGCTGGTAGTCCGGAGGCAGAAGTTGCTCCACCATTAGAACGCAACCTCTTCGCTGACCTGGAACTACCACAGGGTGAGTTGGACACGGATTTTCAGCGAATACGCTCATCCTTCCATATGAACGAAGCCGACATCCTGGATGTGGATCAACAGCGGTTGCCACCGCCTAGCAGTCCACCTGGATTCGGCAAGAGCATCGACGAGGACTGGGAGAACTTTGAGAACCTGGATGCCGTAGCGGAATTTCCAGAGCCCAACTGGGCACTACATCCCAACAGCCTGGAGCAAGTGCCCACGGTGGAGGCCACTCTGAGGGAAGCAACGCTTTCCCTGGACAATGTGGAGCAGACGGAGAATCTGTTCGATCGGCTGGAGCTAATAGAACCCAGATTAGAGATCTTCGAACCGGAACCAGAACCTCCGGCGCCGATAATGCCGCCGCCTCCGCCATACGACCCGGGTCTTCCCTACCTCCCCGACTACGAGTCCCTGATGCAGCTGGACGTTTCTCGGAGCGCACAGAATCTGCCAAAGTACACTGAAGTTATGGAACAAAGGTCCAAGAAAGCCAATTACGTGAGTAGCATAGAGGATCTGTACGCCGAACTGGAAGTAAATGAAACGGAAGTGACAGGATCTGGAGCAGCCCAGAGCAACGGCATCGACTCTTTCGAGGAGCTGTGTCAGGAAATGTCCGTGACAGAGGTGCCGGCACCACCGACGCGCCCGCCTCCCCAGCCCGCTCCAAGATCCCTTAGATCTTCGACTCTAAATGTCCGCGGCGATGCTCCTCCCCTGGCTTGCTATCAACCGGAAGAGCTGCCCAGCTCCAGTTCCAGTGACGCCGACGGGGAGGTGGCCGTTCGCTCAGCTCCAGAGCCTGCCAAGCGGGTTCGTTTCGATGTGGAAAACCTTCAATACTACCAATCGGCCGAAGTGGTGAACTCCAGTGACGAGTCCGAGGAGGAACCGGAGCGGCCACGACCCACACCCATGCAGCGCTGCATTGTGTTCGACTCTGAGACCAATGACCATGGAGTCCCCAGTCTTTTTGGAGCACAAGTCTCACAGGCTTCGGACAGCGATGAGGACGACGATGGCTTCGGCAGGGCCATCAGCCAGCACCGCACCATGACGGCGGCACTGAGAATCCATGCCGTCAGGGGTGACACGGAGGCCTAGACGGCCTCTCCACTATTCCCAGAACTTCCTTAGCAAATACAGTATTTTATGTGTTAATTATTGCCAAATGGCTATGACCTATTAATGTACATATGTTTCATAGATAAGTTGCCATATCACGTTAACTATATATTATAATAAAGTTATAGCAGGAAAGCCATTAAAGATAAAGAAACGAAAATTCAGTGGAAGTGAGTCAATAAAATAACCTTGTGTGCTCTACTTTTTAATTGAATTTATAGATGATTTTCAATATCGATTTGTAAATATAAAAAAATGATAATAAAAACGTAAACAAAAACTTGAAAGACTCAGTCTGAATATGTCTGTTTCTTATCAAAGTTATGGAAATCAAATGATATATGATTAATTAGATTAAAGTTCAAAAAATGGCAACCTCTCTGATAAGATTCGAATGTGATACCCCAAGAACCTTCACTCACCTGTGAAGTTTAACCAGCGGAAAATGAATACACAGCTTCTCATGGAACTCGGTGAACTCGCGATAGGATCGGAACAAGTGCGTCGGATCCGGCTGGCCATGTCGCGTCACCTCCAGAATGTACATGTAGAACTTTTCCATGCTGTAGTGCTTCTGAAAGCAAACTACTTTCACAATCTTTAAGCGTCCATCCTGCTGCATTCTAAAATGTAAAAAAATCAAAGAATTATTAAGAGTTCTTTGTAGAAAGTATTTCCAGACTTACGTATACTTTCGTGGCACAAACGACAGCAATTCGCCACTTCCTTCCTCCGGCGTAAAGCGAATCTGGGCCAGGTTGTGCAGGAAGAAGTTGAATTGCGTAAACCAGCTCTTCAGCGACGATTGAATCATTTTGGCAAAGGTGGCTGCCGCTTCAGGATTTGACTGCGACGGCAGCAAGGCACGCCTGACGTAGGTCACTGCATTGGAGTTCACACCCGGCATGCCAGCGGTGGCCATGTGCGCCAAGGTATGCAGCAGCAGATCGGCATTCTTTCGCACAATATTGAAAGCTCGACAGCAGTAGTCCACGAAATAGTGGAAATCGATGGTGGGTCTGTCGCCGCCATTTATAACATAAGCCATGTCGGAGGTCAGGACAAACGGAGTGCGATCTCTGCCAGAAAGAAAGTGATGAGCATTATGTGCAACATAGTCTATCTCTTTACTTACCTCTTGAAATTGCCAAACATCTGAGCATCGCCCAGAAATTTGCCAAAATCGATGTGAAACAGATGCCCGGATGTCTTGAGCATGATGTTGTCGTTGTGACGATCACAGATGCCCAGGACATAGGTGGCCACGCTGTAACCGGCGCAGGATAGCGTGAAATTTCTCACGGCACTTTGGTACTCCAGTGGGCTCGGGTTCTGTTTACCCAGCCACTCAGCTATGGGACGATCCTTGAAGGAGCCTGTCAGTCCGTACTCCACCTGGATCTTCCGCAACGTTTCCGCCTCGTTGACGAGCTCAATCATGCCGCTCTTGTATCCCGTGGGAACACAATTGAAGGTGACCATTTTCAGGTCCAGGCGCTCGGCCAGCCACATTTTGTTCATGATACGAATCAGCTGAATGGTCAACTGATCCTGCTGCAGGTCGTCGCCGCACTGAAAGGATATTTTGAATTCCATTAGAACAATTCCAAGGATGAAATAACATCACCATTACCTTGAAAATAGCTGGCAGCGACTCTGCATCAGGTCCCACAAAGTTGATTTTCAGCGGCAGAGTGTTGGAGTTAAAGTAGCTGCAATTGCGCACACTGACCCCGGTCACCTCCAGTTCAGGTCCCAACGGCAGGCAGGTGGGCTTCTCCAGCAGGTCCTGGTGGACCTCATCCATGCCCGCAGCCAAAGACTTTTGGCGCATCGACTCCTTGGCCTCCTTGACGGACTCGGCTATTTTGGTGAGCTTCTGACACATGCGATGCTGGTACATGAAGCGCTGCAGCATCTTCTCCCCGCATATGGCCATTAGGGCACGAAGCATCATTTTGTTGCGACGGTAGTAGCGGGCCTGGGTCACCTGGGACTCGTCGTACTCCTGGTCCACCATGGCCGCCCCAATGGAGTTGTGCGGGTCGTCAGGCAGGCTGTGGACCAGCAACCAGTACATGTGATGGGCGAAGCGCGGCGACTCCAGACACTTGGCTAGTAGGAACCGAGCCATGGCAGAGCCCTCGTAGGTGTCGTGCTTCAGACTCTGGACCAGTTGAGGCAGAAAGTCAACCAGCTGGTCATTTGGCATTTTCGAGATCCACTCCACAGCCTTCTCGCGCACCTTGGCGTCTGGGTAGCGGGGCAGGAGCAGCTCCAGAGACTGCAACGGCGACAGCGGGGCCCACGAGTGCAGAAGGGCATGCAAATCAATCAAGTTGGCATAGTCCCAGCTGTGGGCAGCATGCAGAACCTTAGGCAGTGCGTTGGGGTACTTTTGCAGGTACAGCCGCTTCTCCCAGAACACCTCGCGCCGCTCCGAAGCTCCAGAGTAGCCCAGCTCGGCGGTATCCAGCAACTCCTCCTGGAGATTAGCATCCAGGGAAGCAAAGTCGTAGCTAACGATGGGAAATCTTGTTTAAAACAATCCTAATCTCATTACGGTTAGGAATACTTACTGTGGAGCTGGCTTTGGTATCTCCTGATGCTCGGGGAACTCAATGCGACCCCCATACGGCGGCACTTCAATGCTCAGAACAGGACAATAGTCAGGATGCGGATGACAGCCCCTGGCCGGAGCTGGTCCCAGCATTTTATCCGTGGTCGGAGGCCATACTGACAATAGGTAGGGCCCGCAAATCATGACCCGCTTGAAGTCAAAGAGCTGAATAGAGCACCAGCCCAGCTCCGTCGTCACCTGCCGCCTCTCGCCGTTCTGATCCGTGTTGGGCTCACCTTCGCTGGCCGCCTGCTTGCCATAGAGGACGAACGTGAGCCTGGCTTCCCTGGGCAGAGTACAAATCGGATGCTGATCGAAAGTGAGCCACGCACTAAAGTTGAGACGTGGGAACAGGCCTCCGCTGGTATCATTGGAACAGTACAAGACATTGGGTTTGGAAAGGAGGCGAGTTCCGTAAACAAGCTGGACGCAGAGCGAGTAGTCTTCGTACCTCCAGTTGGGTGGCGGCCTGTGCAGACAGTTGATGCTAACCACTATGGGCTTGGACACGCATGAGATGGGAATGGGAGCTGCAATATAAGAAGTTATATTAGTTTTCCAAGTAGGAGTTGGAGAAACTCACTCGTGGAATAGTCTGGTGTCTTTACGGAGAATGCCACTCGGAAAACATTGGCGTACAATTCCACCAGCTCCTGCACGGCATCGCGCAGTCCATTGCACTTAACCTTAATCTGTTCCAGGAGGGAACGAGGACGCAATGTGACCTGTGCATAGTCCCCATAATCACTGACAATCTCCGGATTGCTAGCCCCTGCCAAGTACTTGGTTTGTGCTTCCTCACAGATGCGTCTTAAATCGGCCACGCAACGTGCTATGTCCAGGGTATCGATGGAACCGAGCAGGGCACAAATAGCCTTCACGGCCTGGACCACTCCCGAACAGCTAAGGACGCTGCGACTGGGTGCACCGTCGGCTGCCGACTCCAATTTGTCAATCTCCGTCTCCAGAGTTTCAATGAGGATCATCATACTGTCGTAGGTAATGGTTTGCACCACTTCGTTGGGCAGCAGCTGCTCTGGAAGAAGATCTGCATCGTGCTCATCATCACGTTCCGTTCGAGCAATGGCCTGCATGTTGGCCGTCGTGCTCAGACAGAGGCCCAGGTGCACATCCTTCTCCAACTGGAAGCTGTTGTGGACGCACTCCAGCTGACTTAGCTTAGAGGTGGGAGCCAGCCACTCCAGCAATCCAATGGGCTGTGGGTTTCAAAAAGGCATTAGGTACTTCCCTAAATCTAGTTGCTTTGTTTCACAAACCTTGACTGCATAATCCGTGACAGTGCCCCTAACCTGACCCTCCAGAGAGGCCAGGGCCTGGGCCACCACCTGGGCCACTACGGAGTCAACTAATTGGGGAGAAACACCGAATTAAAATTTATACTTTTAGATATTTTCAAAATACTCACTATCGCAGGTAAACGTGACTGGCATTCCGTATCCTTTCACCTGCTCTTTGGCCATTGAGGAGGACAGGACGTGTGGCTGGAGCGTGTTCAGTGCTGGATGCACTATTACCTTTATACTAGTGTTCATCATATAGTGGTAATCGAACTCTGCGGCCACCACATGGCCCACATTGGTGGGCGCATCGTCGTGCGGATATTGGGCTCTCAGCTGCTTCACCATGTTGTAGAACTCCAGGAGTTCGGGGTCATCGCTGCGCTGTTCACTGATCACCTCGTAGAGACGAGTGCAGGTTTTCCGTCGATCCAGCACCACATGGGCCGGAATGCTTGACGTATAGCTGTCCGTGAATGGAGTGGACTGATTAGGTTTCGAACCAACCCCAGGATACTCGAGGGAGTGCTGATTCCTTGGCGGCAGCGGTGGCGGGGGCGATACGCTGCCAGATCCATTCTCCGAAAGATGCAGTTCTTCTTCCACCGGCTGGGCAACACCGCCCGACTGATATGATGCCGACGATGTGGACGGCTGGTTGAGGAAATCCTGGCGCCAGCCAATTACATTCACATTTGGACTCACGGTGGCTGATGATTTGTCCCACCTGTTGACCGCCTCGTACATGGGATCCGAGTATTGGGTTCCAGCATCGCCGCTGTAGAGGAAGTCGAAGGGGTCGTATTCCGCGTAGTAGGAAGTGCAGTCGGAGGCGCTGTCGTTTCCTGCAAGTAGCGAGTGCATGGTCAGTACGGATCGATTCGGTCCGAATGTCGCCAGAAGTTATGCAAAAATATGCTCGAGACCCATGGCCTACTGCGGTGAGAATCTGGGCACATCACACCGTGTGGCCAAAAATAAATGAGACGGCCCGGCCCCAATGCGACGCGAATGCGGTGGTATCCCCAAAACGAATCCGGAACGGAATCGTAATCGGACGGAATTGTGTTTAGTGTAGTATATGGTGTGTGTAGTGCGAGAACGCTTCGCAAATCTACGCTAAAAAATTCGCTTGTCTGCGGCTGCGGCTGGGGCTGCCCTCGCTAATAGCTAATTCTGATTGCTGTCAAATCCCGCCCACGCCGGCCCAGTACAGTGGTCCATATACTGATTGTTTTCTGTAAAAATATTCCACAATGGAGTACTTGTGATCTTCGCTTCCCTGTTCCAC